TTAATTGTTCATCATTATGTTCCTGTTTAATTCTCGACACATAAATACTTGATAGTTGTGAATATTCGTAACGTTGTCTAGCAGCTACGATCGCCTAATGTTTTTTACCCTTTATCATGCTCAGCCAACACACGTTCTATAACAAAAAGTCAGTAATTAGTTATCAATCTCAAAGGAAAAAATGTGTAACTCACCTTCTGGAACAGTAACGTTGCAAATCTCACATTTTAAAACCATTTTAATGGCAGAAGTCGTTTTCACTGCAAAATTATCTATAAACAGTGTTTCTCATTACGATGCTAGTACGTAAAACTGACAAATCAACCGAGAAAAATGGCTCTCAGAGAAAGTTAAAATAGTTATAAAACTCTGAAGTAGTCGGACGACACCGAGCATAGAAAATGGTTGCAGTATTGCTACAGCTATAGATTGATTAATTAACTTATTATCCTTACTAGTTATACTATACATTATAGATGTTTAATATAATTGAAAGGTATTTTCTTATAATCATTGTACATAACATTCGAGCTTTCGACATTTCCTCATTTTTACCTAATTTATCCGCTTAATTGCTTTGTATTTTACTCCCTACACTTTGACAATTCCACTTATTAATTGATATGATATGTATGCCTTTCAGTCGTTGTTTCCTTTTAGCACCAAATCGTAGATCCAAGGAGAGACTAACTACGTCAATTTGCATTGATCTTGCTTGGCTCCTTGGATACTGGTGATAGTCATAATCAGTGAGACACAAAAAAGCCGCAAGTTCATCAGATCAGTAAATCCGAAATATACCAGCCCCAATGAATAAATACAAATTTATATACAATGAAAGTTTCAGGAAATGTTTTCGACAAGTGTTTTTAACAGTGCGGTGGACAAACGGATTTAGAAAACCACTTTCCACACATTTTTTCGGAAAAGCGTAAGCGAGACCTTTAGATTATTTTTGATGCCCTACACGATGGGACAAGTGGAATTTTAGGGACAAGATGCTCAGTATAAAGTGGGCGTTATCTCAAAGCGGCTCCAACTGCTGCGACTCGAGTGACGAAAAGTGCAGCCGTTTCATAAATATTCATCAATCTCATAATCATTCAATAAATCTTATTATAAGATGAACGGTTTATCCCTAACGTATTTATTGAATAATTATTTATTTTGCAGGTGTAGATGAATATCTTATCGGTAGGTATATTAAACATTCTTATTTACAATAAAAAGAAAACAATAACAACATAAATTTTATTTAAAGCTGAAGTAGTTGAATTGAGTGGTAATGTTGCACGAGATAGTCAACGCTGCTGAAGTACTCCAAGACATGTTCTACTTGCTACAGCGACTGATGAAGAACTTAATATATGTGTGTATCTCAGAAATATTTTTCATCTGATATTTTTTATCTCTTTAAAAGTTATTGATGGGGCAATCAGATGAACAAAGAAATACATAGACACAGTCCGTATCTTGTGCTTAATTACGGATAAATTCATGCCTACACTCGATTTTTATGAAACAAAACCTTACGCTTAAAACGAGCAAAAAAATGCGTCCGTGCGTCATGACAATTTGTTTTCATTTTAAATCTTACATAAGCATACTAGAGATTGCGCAAAATCTTCTCTTTCGGCATTATTTCTCTATCTCTTTTCACTGCAGAGCACGACACGAAAAAGTGAACGTTATGGGAGGCGACTTCCATTTTTTGTCCGCCGTGCGTCAGGACCCTTATTTTGACGTGCCTCAGATTGACATCTCAACCAAATGAGCTGAAAATTGTGTGTCACAGAGAACTAACTGAATTCTATCTGTGGCCAAAATTTCGGTCTTGCATAGTTTCTTAATCCCGAGATAATTGAAATGATTTATTAAAAATGCCTGTACATCACGTTTGGCTAGACAGATACAGATAACAAAGTGAGTTTAGAATGTGAGTAACACGGATTAGATAATACATTTTTGACATTGAAGAGTAAAAGAAAAATTTGTTTCATGATAAAATGTGAAGGTATTTATTAACGAACTAACGCTACCGCCTCTCCGTTTTTATCTTTTGTATAAGGGATTGAAGTCTCTCTGTAGTTTATTTCATTTATTTTCTATATATTTTAACTGTTTTTCGTGTGTTTCATCGATAATAAACTCAAAATTACCTCCGTTCTGCTTCCTGCACAAATGGTTTTGTTATCTGCAAAATCTCAGAAGAAGTGAGCTAAAACTGAACAGCAAGCTTGAAATGAGGTCTGTACGTGGTTGACGTTTATATACAGAAATGGAAGCAAGAAAGAATGTTCAAGAAAGTGTATTTCACTTTTTCTCTTTCGAAAGTGTTCTTTCTAAGTCATTTTCGTGCCAGTCTTGAGAAGAAGAAGAAAAGTTGGGACAATTTTCATTCATAAACATAGAGTTCACCAGTCTATATAGCAAATCTCTAAGACTTGTTTCTTTAAAGCTTGTTACTAACCTAGGCGGTTATATTAAGACGAGCTTTTTAAGTAGGCATCTACTTGCAACTTTAAGATGCAGAAATACTATTCTAATTCCTTCTCTTTCTGAATATTTTTATTTTAAGAATGACGATCTGTCCTGAATGTTCTGGTGTTGGCGAAGCTGTTATTAGCTGTGGATTTTGCGGTGCATATGTTTGTAAAGAATGTTATATACGTCATTTAGTCACGTGGGGTCCAGACGATGAAAAATAGAAGCTAGATGAAACAACAAAAGATAGTTAAAGCAAACAGTTTATCTTCAAGCTAAAGAACGGTCAACGTTGAGCTCCACGATAGAATCATGATTAGTCTCACACGTAAAGTTAATAGGAAGGACCAGGAAAAAAAGGTAGAATTTGAGTTGTTGACAATAAAAAATGCTTCCTCTCTATTTGTGAAAGTCGTGTTTATATTAATATCAGAATTGTTTGAAGATCTGTAGCATTTCAGGATTTACCTCGCTTATCAAAATTTTATACTAATTGCTTTTGTCTATAGTTTTAGGACTTCTGTGCCGTATGATAGAAAAGGATTCAACGTAAAAGGCGTTTTATTCAATTCCTTTTTTTTATCACTGCTGTATTAGACTCCTAAATAAAACACTCTTACTGCAAACTTTTTGGAAACTAAGTTCAAATTTGCTTGTCTATGCTAGATGGGTCATTGTTTTTAACAATTACCGTAATCAAAACGTCAGCTGGATTTACTTGAATCTTTGTCGGCCGATAAAAACGCAGGCGAATTGCATATAAGTACACACTGATCAAATAATCCTTTTTCAGCTGGGCCTTTAACGAATCTGTATAGAAACAGATGATGGAGCCCGATGCTAACATGGCTATGTTCATAGTAGTTTATAATAGGTTAATATAAGTTGAAAAGGTTAAAAAAGTTATAAAAGTAAAATCAGCATTGTTTATAATAGGTTAATATAAGCTGAAAAGGTTAAAAAATAAAATCATCAATCATTTTCAAATTATTAAATCAACCCATCTTCAAACTATGCACTCTCCCATCCTGTTTTCTTTAAAGCCGGATCGTTTTCTTTTTTCAGGAAATCGGCATTTGATAATGAATCGGCATCCCAATCCATAATAGCATTATCGGGCACTATATCAACCGGCACTTTATATGATGCTGACGTTTCATTATAGGCCGGGTTTGATTGCAGGTTATAGCAGGAAATTATCGACCAACGCGGATGATCGGACAGGTTAGCCTCTGACCGGTGCAACAAGTTACTATGAAGTATCAGTGCATCACCAGCCTCCAGTTCAGCATAGACCAATTCCATCGTTTTTAAGGCGTTATTAACCATCTGTATATCGGCTCCCATCTGTTCGCCTGCAAAACCATGATTCAACCTGCCCAATTTATGCGATCCTTTTATCACCTGCAAACACCCATTTTGCTTATTGGATTCGGTCAACGCAACCATCACACTGATCAACTCATCAGGAAACATAAACTGGTTTTTATACCAGTAACCGTAATCCTGATGCCACTCCCATGCCCCGCCAACTTTTGGCTCCTTTTGCATTAGTTTTGAATGATAATGGCAAATCGGTGCTTCTCCGCCTAACAATTGTTTTACCGAGCCTATCATCTTTTCGCTGCGGATTAAATATCCAAAAATATCATTCCCAGGAGTGAACCAAAGTGATAGCTTGGTTTTTTTACCGGTTAGATCGTCAAGATCGAAAGCATTGTTAAGCATAGCATTATCTTCCAATGCAGTATTGTATAATTTATTCACTTCGTCGGGCTTGCAAAAGCCTTTTATAATGATGTATCCCTGCTGATGGTAAAGCTCAACCTGGGCCGGGGTCAATTTTTGGGTTAGCATTGGTATATGTAATGTATGATCTATAGCAGAGAAGACTTTGAACTATCCATCTCAGAAAAATAACCGATTTATTACTAAGTAAAATATTTGACGTAAAACTAATTTCCTACAGATCCTCTAGAATACCAGCTTCGAATTTGTTGGAAAACGTTATTGAAGAATGCTTCTGCTGACAGAAGTATAGATTAAACTTTTCTCTATTGATTGTCGAAAACTATAAGTCTCTACCTTTTATTGTCCTTGAATTATTATTCAAAAAACAATTACCGATGTTCTAGTTTGAGATGAATAATAGTATTTTTTAAAACTACATGGGTAACAAAGTGATGAAAAAAACGAGGGATGGACTGCACCCTCTTAAGAATAAAATGACACACTTCATCTTCTTATTCGTGCCGCTAAACAACATTTGGTCAGTCAAATTTCTTTTTCATTCTTACTCACCTCTGTTTCACCTGTTCGATAAGAGCCTAAAGACATAAAATGAAAGTAACTGCTCTTTTTCACATCCTTTTATTCCATGAAATAAATGAACGCAATTATTATCTCATATTTTGTCCTCTTGATACAGATTATATTATAAAACATTTTGATGAAGGACGTGTTCTGTATTGCACAACAACATCGAAATTCACCTTCATCAACACTGTTTGTGTTCGATAAGATGAAAGAGTTTTCCCTTCGAAGACTCTTTCAACAATAATAAAATCGGAATAAGATTTTCCAAAGTATCTTTTTTTGGTAAAAGAAACTTTCGTCATTGTGACGAATGAAGTGTCGTTGTTTTAACACGTAAACCTCCGTTACCAAAAGCATGTATCTTTTTCTTCGTTCGTTCATTTATCATTTTCTTTTCTCTGGTTTTTCAGCGCAGAAACACAAACAATTTATTTACATGAACATAGTCTTATAGTCAATGGAATAAAAGACACTTTGAAAAATCTCATTCCGATTTTATTATTGTTTAAAGAGTCGGTGAAGAGAAAAATCTTGCGTCTTATCGAAAACAAACAGTATTGATGAAGGTGAATTTCCATGTTGCTGTGCAATACGCCGCCTAGCTAACCACATTTTTCATCGAAATTCGTTTTATCTAGGGCATTTCACGTTTATTTTCCGCTCACGAAACAGAAACAGAAAAAAATCATTGTGACGAATGAAGTGTCGTTGTTGTAATACGTAAACCTCCGTCGCAAAAATCATGTACCTTTTTCTTCGTTCGTTCATTTATCATTTTCTTTTCTCTGATCAGCACAGAAAGATAGGGTAAATTTGAGTTTCTTATAGAAAAAATTCACAGGAAATTGAAATTCTACTTCTTCTAAGAGAACTTAAGATTTCTTTTGTTATTACAGTGTGTAATTTCACTGCTTTTCACAATTTCAATGAACTTAATGAATGCGATTACGAATTTTTCTCCTAATTACAGAATCAAATTCTTTAATATATTTTGTATAGTGGTAATTCCATTCCTGTGAACCGCTACCACCAGTTAAAATAAGAAACTGTAGATTCAATTACAAACGTTCGACAAAACTAAAAATTCATGTACAACTTGATATTCAGAATATATTTTGTGATGCATAGTGTAATTCGTATAACCAGTGCTTATTGTCTAATGCTCATACTATAACATCAGATTGACTCGGCATGTTGTGTCTAAACACGTATGAACAGTAGACCAAAGCTGGTCAGTTATTGATGCGGCAAGTCCAGCGGAAAGTATGACACGAACGATTCTGTTACATAGTCGAAACGGCTAATGGTCAACCAATATGATTAAAGTAGAAGTTAAAATTCGGCAGAATTGAACCGTACCAAATTTTAGAGCACACTTTTCTGCATATGACACTGTCTTTTGTTTCATTTGTCGGTGCTTATTAGACGAAAAAATGTGGACGAAACAAAATTGTGAATCGTTATTAATATTGAATGATCCAGCATAGTACGAGAAAAGTGTATACAACGGGAGAAGGAACGTGATAACCATCATGTGTCTAATATAACTTTGAAGCGCAGAATCTGAACTTTGTGCTCGCTTATGTAAAAGTTTTCCACACTGTTTCTGCTATGAGAAAAACTACTATCCATCCCAAAATACAGTGCGTGTGGCTGTTTTTCGAATAACTTTTGATGGAAATGAGACAGAGAACTGCGGTTTTCACCATTCGAAAGAGAATACCTGAAGACATGTTTCTATAAGCAAAACTGAACTTTCTAAAAACTTTCCAAGCCGGTTTTTCGAGAGATCTTTTTGGAAAACCATCTTGGATTCTCAAAAGTCGTCATTTGAAAGTAGTGATTTTTTTCATGGATATATACTCTGAAGTGTGCTCTACAAAACAGGAGTCAAGCGAGCTATTGAAAATCAGTGGTTCTGTAGATCCAGCGGTTTTGCCGATAGCACAAAATTCCTGCTTTTTCAGATTTAAAAATCCTAAAAGTACATTTTGTATAGGTAATCGATCACGCTGGTTACCGTCGCAATGTTTGTTTCACTGTGGAAACGAAAATACGGTCAGAAAACCAAATATTGCAAAAATTCGATTTTTAGCGTTTGACCATAGTAAATTATTAGTTTTATAATTCGATCATTTTTCGTCGATACATCAAAGCAAATAGCTAGTGATTCGAGCAATTGCTCAATCAATCGACTTAATAGATCCATCGCTTCACAAATGTACCACCCGTCAAATGTCACGTCAATTGAAGGATGCCATTGTTGAATTTTATTGTCTAGATGACATTTCGAGTCAAATGCCGGGAAAACGAGACACGATTGTTATCAGACAGAAGGAACAAAATCAACTCATCAAAAACGAATTTTACTATATAATATTCGCAGAGTACGTCAGTTGTTCTTATCAGAAAATTCTGGCTCTGGTATGGACCGTTATGACAGCACATGATCTAACAGTAATAGGCTACTTCTTTCTGTTGTAGACATTGCTCTAACAAGTTTCACAGAACTACGTCCAAAATATGTTCTGATCAAAGCAGTCATGAGCCATCGTGTGCATACCACGAGAATGTAAATCTTTTACTGGAATCTTTGATAAAGCATATAAAAGGTGATACGTGCTCGGATTTACAAACGTTTACGAGTGCTTTGGTATGTGATGAGTCAAACGAAATATGCATGTTCTCAAATTGCTAGACATGCGCTGAACATTTCGAGACAAAAGTAGAAGGAAATATTCACGACTCCACGATAACGATTAAATGGTTTCAATGGACGAATAAAAATAGTTGGGCAGATAAGCAAGAATTTGGAGGAACTGTGAAAAACTGTGTTCAACATTTCTAGTTCAACAATACTTGTTACATGTATTCATCAAACGTCGTCAAAGTAGTCTATTTGAACGAATCAAATAAAATACGGATGATTGAAAAGTTCTTCTACGAGTCGACTATGCTGAGAATTTCGCAATGGATCCGCAATCTGTCAAGATTCTGAATGGAAGCTCGATGGTACTATGCACACAGTACCAGAACTGTTGAAAAAGCATGAGCAATCATACATTCAAACACAATGTTTGAATTTCACTTTCAAAATTTTCAATGTTCTGTAGTGCAAGCATTTATTCTTATATATGCAAGAACAATGTCAAACAAAATGGTGATTGAAAGAATAATACATTTGTTTGTCTACCCTATCGACAACAGAATTTTAGCAGAAGCCCTCTACACTGAAGTGCTACAATAACATAAATAAATGCAAAGTTGGCATATGTACATTTTTGTCGAACCTCTGAGTCATATCGTAATCAAAATGATTGCTAACTTTCTTTGTTAGCAAAGATTTTGCTAATTACAGAAAAGTTTTCAAATCCTGTCAAAATCTTGATCAAGATTTTTCCAGGCAGATTCCTCCAAAAAAATTTGACAAGATTTTGACAAGAATTGTTGAACATTCTTTGAGATCAAGAAACTTGACAGATCTTGCGCATATATATATACTTTCTGCAGGACATGGACATATATGTTGTAGGTAAACTTAAAATTCAGTCAAGTTTTAATTCTGCCTGGTCAAGTTTACAAAATTTAAATCTTAAGTTTACCTAGGCAAAACGTTAATATTCTTCGTACCAAAGGGCTTTTAAAACCATTTAGAAAACCGTTCTTGTACTTTCTAAAATCTTTTTTGTATTTTAAAAAACCTCTTGGTGTCTTTAACAAAACTGAAAAGGGTTTATCACGTCTACTAAACCTAAAAGAGTTCCGCCTTTTTCCAAATTACTAAACCGTTCAAAAGGGTTTAGTAGCGACAAACGGTTTTCAAGCGTGTCTAATAAACCCATTTTTCATATTAAATCTGTTTGAACGGTTTAGTAATTTGTCATAAGGCAGAATTCTCTTAGGTTTAGTAGACTTGATAAACACTCTTAGGTTTTGTAAAAGACACCTAAAGGCTTTTAAAACGCGAAAATGTTTTTACAAAGTACAACAACGGTTTTCTAAATGGTTTCAAACAGCCTTTGGGTTTAGTACAAAGAACGAGAAAACCTTTTTTGTCTACTAAATCCTTTTTTTAGGGTTCTATAAAATACGCTTTTTTTAGAGAGGAGGGCCGTGTATACACGGTGCAGCCAGCTTTCATGTTTTGTTCTAGATTTTCTTTGTTTTCTCGTGTAGAAAGAATAAGAACTGCGCATGTAACAATTTCGGCTCTAAAAAATGCGTTTATAAACGCAATCCAAACGCGTTTAAACGGCTTAAAAATGAAACATTTGCACCGTTCAAACGCCTTTTGTTTCGCTTCTATACCAACGCGTTCGAACGCGTTTATCTGACAAGTAGCGTTCAAACGCGTTTTGTTCATCAAACGCTTAAAAACGGCCTAGAAATGAAACATTTGAAGCGTTCAAACGCGTTTATCAAAACTTCCGAAAAAAACAAAAAAAAACAATGTTATGT